GCGACCAGCTCAGGTACCCAGCCCGCAGGTCTCACGACTTGAACATGAAAGGGTCTCGCCTAGAAGCCAACCAAAAGCCCAAGAAGATTCCTCGCCTGAAAGAAAACCCCACCCACTAACTACACGTAGCCAACAGGAAGGAAACCAAACAAGCTAGGCAGGAAAGCATAAGGAAAAACTCCATCCCGTAAACTACAAGACCCATAGGGCCACAAAATGAAAAAAATAACCACTGCCCACCGTACCACCAGATTTGCCGTTATTTAAAGAACCGCCCCCGAAGTGGGCGGCCGGCCACGAGCCCTAAGGCTAAGCACCCCCAACCAGCTAGGCCACAGATGTAGTGCAATACTATGGCCTGCCAATCGAGAACAGAGGCCACGGTGCCAGGCCCAAGGAATGGATGCTTGGTAGAGGGGGTGCCGCCCAGCAGTAGGATGCCAGCCAAAGGAAGGATGTAGTAGGATACCAGCCAAGGAGGGAAGGCAGTAGGGTGCGAGCCGACGCGACCGAAGTGGAAAGTAGAGGTAGGGCCAAAGGCCTCAGTGCAAACCCGACTGTAGACCGAACCGATGTATTACCGCGTCTCTCATGTAGTCCCTTGTTCTCCAAGAGATAACGTCACTTAGTGGAAGGAATCCCACCGGCGGCAGGGAGATGGAAGGGTGAGGTGAGAAAGGTAACCAAACTTGAACCGAGCGACTAGGAGGTCATGGTCAAATCTCACCGCGAGACAGACCCCGAAGTTACTAGCCGAGGCGTTCCCCAACGGGGATCGTGCAAGTGGGGAGAAGGATGTCCACCACTGCCAGTACCGTCCGGAAGCGAAGAGAGGAAGCCGACCGTGCCAAAGCTAAGCGAGCCCCTATTAGCAAGACAGGACTACTGGGCGAGCCCAGATAACTCCCACATCAAGCAGACAAGAGACAAGCGAGGCCAAAGCGGGAGAGGATGGTAGAGTTAACCATGCCCCTAGGCAGGAACCATCGAGGGGGCAGAGGGGAGTGGGAGGGCCCACGATAGTTGACGTGGTGTTACCAAACTATGTGGGAGGAAAATAGGAGCGACGGAGCGTGTGTACTAGAAGTCCTGGACCTTGCTATTTATACAGACACCTCACCTAACCCTAGCTCTTTGTGACTCATACCTTCCAGTCACTATATCCTCTGACTTATAATTGTGCGTCATGTGAAATCATTAGTTGACTCATATGAGTCAACTGTGCGACATACCTAAACTAATCATAATTCTTATAATAAGTCATATGTGCTAAATGTATCACATGTGTGAGACTCGTAACTCACAAGTATGATTTATACGCAAAAGTCATAATATCATATGACTCACAACTGTGAGTCATCGCATAACAATAAATGTAACGTGTTCGCAAGGTGCTAATCGCATTATCGGTAATGGATACGATAGTTGGCAGGTGGCATGCTCTTCCAGAGACGAGGCGAGAGCTGAGAACTAAAGAAGGCTTCGGAGGTATACTGAGGAACAAGAAGTAACCATTCAACCAAGTATATTGAAATACTGTGTGTCAAAGTCTGCCTTTTCTATCATAAAAACAGGTGGTCTTTAAATACACAAATCTGTTCATGTCTTAGCTTGAACAAAATTAATCCAAGGTATCAATCGATACACTTTGGTAAAACTTCTTAAGTATCAAAGCGATACTTAAAACAAAACATAAAACAAAATCAAGTATCAAACGATACTTAAAACAAACTAAGTATCAAAGTGATACTTAAAACAAAATATAAAACAAAACCAATAACCAAGTACCCGTACCAGTTACAATAAATATCAATGACTCGCAAGTGCAAGTTATGTGAAAACCTGTATTCCACCTCTTCAATCTGCCTTGTCTTAATCTGGTTTGTAACAGTTATAGGGGTTTGAAGTCAGCAATCTAAAAATGTTGTATTTATGACTACTCCTGTAGACACGACTTGCAGATAAAACTGATCATTTTATCAATAAGGAAGACTGTTTGGACCAACTCTGTTCAACTTGAGAACTAGGCTATAAGTCTAATAACTCTGATGATCAGATAATTACTATTAGAAATAGTACAGTTTCCAATTGATGAAATAGTAATTACTGAAGAGAGTGTGATGGTTTTCACAGTCTCCTAATGTTCGCACCTCAGAAGAATACCCAACATTGTAAGTTATGGTTAAAGAGGTACATAATTTGGACAAGAGATAGTTGTAGTCTGCAAATACTCAGATACAGAATATAAATGTTGAAGTAGTTACCAAGATTTTGGACATCATCAAGCAATGGAGAAAGATCTTTACAATGAAGTATTGTTTTTATAATTGAATTCTACTTTTTTATACTCTTAGCAGTCATAACCAAAATGAGTAACTCTTTAAGCCTTCCTAGAAAAATCTCCATCTGCAAAATGAATCTCAATTGGCCTAGACCATTCTGAGTCTATACAAATCATCTCTGCCTAACAGGAAGTAGGAGTATAGTTGGAGAAGTAGTAGTAACGAACTTATTATTGTCTCTGGTTCAATTTAAGTCCACAATAGAGTACGCGTTAAAAATAGACAGACAACAATTTCTAATGCAAATTCCCATAGGTATAATTCTTCACATAGATTCCTAGTTCAAGTTAAAGGTATTAGATGCATAGAACAAATCTGTATTTCCTCACATACTATCAGAAGTGAGAATATTCCCTACCAACTATTCAAGGATACAGGATTCACATGAGTACTGTGAGTACAATTACAGTACAAATTACCCTTACTCCGAACTTCCAGACAGATGAGATACAAAAGATATATGAGGCGGACACTTTCTGTCTGGATGTAGACACCTTTTGTTTGACATAAAAGTTGTTTTTGCTGATGAAATATAGTGATATCGAGGTAGAACACCTATCTTATCCAACCTATCAAGATATTAAAGTCAACTGAGTTCTTTAACATCAGTCAATTTCCTGTTCAGAGCAACTCATTCTTGACGGAACTGCTAGCTATTCCAACGGGCATAGAGACACCCTTTTTGTTCATCAAACTCACATGTCATAGCAGTGATATTTGGTTTTAGTTCATCCTGTAACCTTTTAAGTGCTTCTTGGATTCGGGCTTCTATATTGGTGTAGCTTGCAACAGACATGGCAATGTAGTAGAACAGAACTGTGGTTGAACATATGGTAGGAGGAGGTGTTTTCAAAATATTGTGCATTGACAAAATTAACCACGATTCAACAATCAGTAGCAACCCACCTCTCTTCATTACTCCGTACTCTCAACAGTTCCTAAAAGAATTGCTCTAAGTCAACCAAGAAGAAACCATTCTGCTCAATTCTTTTTCTCAATAAACTATGCCTCCTATTCTTCTCAGTCATGCCAAAATACCTCTTCCCTCTACACATCTCTCTGAGTTTACCAGGAGGAGGATTCTCAGGTTATACAAGCCTCAGATGAGATATCAGCAAATTTCCCACTGCTTTAATATCCCCTACGCTACTCTCAGAGACATAATTGTAAAGGGATATCAAGAGGGCAAGGAGAATAAGGGTAGAGAAAGACATCCTAAAACTACCAAGTTACAGGATGATGCTATGGTAGAGGAAGCTCTTAAAAATCGCCATACTAGCTATTCTGTCATTGCTGAACCAGTTGCTCCCAATGTTTCTCATAGGACAGTAAGGAGAAGACTTGAAAAAAAGCATCTTAGAAATTGGATGGCACAAGAGAGAGTTCATTTAGATGAGGATCTAGCTCAAGAGAGGTTGGAATAGGCATTATCTCATAGGCATTAGACAAAGGAGATGTGAAGAAGAAAGGCAATAAAGGGGGATGAAGTAGCTGTGGAAAGGGGAGGAGGAAAGAGGAGAAAATGGGTTTTCAGATACCCATATGAGAAATAGAATAAGGATTTTGTTGAACCTAAGGCTAGGAGAGGGGAGAGAGAGATTAGCTAGATAATGGCTAGTTGTTTTTATAGTCAAACTCATGGTCTTTTTTTGCCTATTTTTTCTAATCCTTCTTCTACTAGGAGTGGAGTTACTGGGAAGTCAATTATTGATGTTTATAATTATTATAACTTTCTAGGGATATGGGAGAATGTCAGAGAAAAGGCTGGAGAAGAAGAGGTATTTTTTATCATTGACAATGCTAAGACTCACTTGCCTTTTAGGAGATGGCCCAGAAAGCAAGGAATTACACTAATGGAAATTCCTGCCTATTCACCAGATCTTAATCCAATTGAAAATATTTGGTCTCTGGTGAAAGGTAAGCTTCACAAGCACTACCCTGAGCTATATCTTATGAAGGGTGATGTCAATGTGGTCAAGAAGGCAATAGTAGAGGCCATCACTCATTATTGGGAACTTCTTGACCCAAAGGTTTTTGATACTTTAGCTGGATCAATGGTGGATAGAATAGAGGCAATTATTAAGGCTGATGATGGTATACCAAATATTAATTTCTACTATGTATTTATATCTTTTAATTTCTTTTTTTTTTTTGGTTTTCATGATAGTGGATTGGTGGGTGAGTGTGGTTGTCATCGCCGAAGATTTTCCTCTGTTGAATCGCGGTTAATTTTGTCCACGCACAATAGTTTTGTTGAGATATCCATTCTGTTGAGCTGTCCGGCACTCTGTAGGAGTGCCGTCAAACTTTGCAAGTCGCCTAGCGTCTTTCAAAGTGGCGGGAACCTTGGCACGGTTACCCTTGAGGGTCGAGCTCGCTCGTACAAGCATCATACTGTACCATACACGAGTTAATATTACAGTTTTGTATATCAACAAAAAATTATGTCTCAATGCTCGGCACTGACGTGAAGCGAGAATCGCCATGCTCATTCACCGTGAGCACAATGAGCACAATATTGGAAGGTGGGGAAAATGCAGGGTCGCTCGCTGATCATCGAACTGATCTTCTTTCCGTCGGCTTCTTCCTTGCTTATTTTGCTAGGATCTGAACATTCACATATCACAAATCGCGACGCACGTACTTGTACAGTACTCGAGTGCATACATATATATATATGTGTGTGTAAGAGTGGGTGATCCTCAACTCCGTGAAAAGTATGATACCAGTAAAGCAAGGTAAAGCAAAGCTCCAACGCCCCCCCACCAGGACCATTTCGATCTACCATACAAGTACCGTGTTGGTACATCAGTTATAAAGGACCAGCCAGCGAGTGCGGTTGAAGCGAGTGGTGTGGCTAGATGGAGACCAATCTCATGCCATCACTCTCGCCCATCCATTATGCAATGGGAAAAAAGGGGGAAAGAAAAGGTGCAAAAACACCGAAACACCGGCCATCGTAGAAATAAGACCCCACAAACAGAAATGCCAGCGCTGGGTGAAATGAACATCAAATGAAACGGAAAGACAGCCAAATCAAACCAAACCAAACTAAACGTAAAGTAGTCGGGAAGCAAGGGAAAAATGGAATATCTCTAAAAGTACACCCCCCCCCCCATTAATTAAGGTAAAACCGGACAGTAATAATAAGCAAAAGCTGTGACCTGATATTATGAAACAACGTGAAGGATAAAACAAAGGCTATGCTCCGATCCGGCCCATCATGGAGAGTTTAACCCGCATGTAAAGAGAAATGAGAAGAAAAAACCCCACGAACTCCGATAGCCCAACCGACCATGCCGTGTGCAAAAGAAAAGTGAGATGAAGTGAGGCGAAGTCTTCGGGGAATCACGGACTATCAAGCACCCAAGACAAAAAGGGAACAGGAGAGAGAAAAGAAACAGAAGCAAATGCACCGTCCGTCATGATAATATAGGCAGAGACCAAGAAACTAGGGGGGAAGAAAGAAAGAAAGGAAATCAGCAAGCCTCCTGAATATCGCTAAGCCACTTTGCAACCCCCTCCGTCAAAAAGTTCTCCACAACGTTCCCGGGTTCCTGCGCAACGGCGCGAACAACATTCTCCAGAGCTCCAAGAACCATACACTTGCATCCCTGGACATTGAGTTTTTGGAGTTCGTCCCCTCCGTCGCGGGCGGTGGTGCGGCTGCCACCACCACCAGTTTGTGGCCGTGGGAGGGGAGTGGCGGATATACCAATGACTTTTTCCACAGCGGTAGCGAGAACGTCATCGACATCGCATACGAGTTCTTCGTCGATTACTTCCTCCTCCCCCCCCTCTTGAGCAGCGGCGGCCGTGGCGGCGGTGCCAAAGTATGGACCTGATGCAACGAGTGACGGCTGTTGGATATGTAGATGGCGGTAAGCACCTAGCACACTGGGTAGTGGTGAGGTGGTTCCCGGAGAGGCAACCGGTTTCTTGCTGCGTCGACGGAGACGAAGGCGTTTTATCATGCGTTCCCTCGTGTCTGCGATTAGGACCGAGCAGACCTCGATCCATCTGTCGTTGGGGCTCTCCTGACTGGTGCCGCCAGACTCGGAAGCAGGTGTGGCGCCCATTGGCTGGCGGGGTGTTGCCTCGGCCCTCATGGCTCTCTTGATCTCCTCTTCAACTTCCGGGTATGGTTTCACGGCTTGGAGGGCGAAATCGGGATGGAACTTTTCATCGTCCAGCCACCCCGCTACATTGACCGCGTTCTCTTCAAGATCGGTAATCCAGCTGGGCATTACCATTCCAGATGAGAAACTCATGCCAGACCCCAGGAACCCATTGCCCATGCTCTCCAAGGATGGCATTGACATTGCCCATCCGGAACTGGATGGAGAGCTGACGGGAGATGTGTATCCGGTTGTCGGGAAGTCCAGGGATGGCATCGGGATGTCAACGTCGACCACCCCATCATTCTCGTCGACTGATAACCTCACTTGGCTCTCGGAAAACTGAAGGTGGTGATTGTGGAAACCATGGTGTGCGGGTAGCGACGGTGGCGCACTGTGTTGCTTATGGTGGTGATGATGCTGCAGATCGTCATCCTCCAAGTACAATTCCCCGACGTCCACCGGCTCCCTCTCATCGCCACTGATTGCCCCACCCCTACCAATCACATCAAAACCGTCATCGTGCTGCAGGCTGTTTTCGCTTGGGGCGGTAGACCCTGTTTTTGAATGGCTCCAGAAACTGAGAAAACTACCCCATCCACTATTTGAATCCATGCTTGTGTTTGCAGTCCCAGTTCTTTTTAGTGTGCTCATTAGATTCATACTTGCTGCACTGTTGCTGCTGCTCGGACGCACATCACCTTTCTGGGGGCTCCCCGGTGCATTAGCCGGCATAGCAGTCACGGAGCTTGGGGCCGTGGTTAGTGCCCCTGCACTCCCCGCTTTTCGTGCAGGATTCGCCAAAGGAAGTTGCAACACAGATGGCGCAGTGCTTGACTCCCCACTAGTCGCCGCGGGGATATCCCATCCGACAACCACCCCCTCTTCATCACCAGTGACCATGCTAAGCTTACTGGGCTTCCTCTTGGCTCTGTTCCGTAGAGAGCTCTTCTTGCCCCCCATGCCGTTTCCCATTGCCCCCGAGATGGGCGGCGATTGGGAAAGATAATTGATCGACGAAGTCCTTGAAGGCGGCGGGAGTCCATCCCACTGGGGAAAGCTCTTGGTCGGCAAGAATGCCGAAAGGAGATATATGAGTCTTCTCGAAGCCATCTTGTCGCTCGAAAGAATAACGGTCCGAGTGGGTATGGGGAACTCCTCATTATTACCCGCTACCTGCTGTTGCCGCTGGTGCTTCCGCCTGTATGGTAGTGGGCCAAGGACGTCTAGCCACTCCGTGTGGTGGCCGAGAAATGCGGTCAGTAATGTGAGGAAAAAACTGCACGTCGCGTAATTAGTATCTCCGATAAGGAAAACAGCCAGTTGGACGGCAGTAACTCACAATTTCATTTCCCTTCCTCCAAATCGCTCATTGGCCCAATGCGCCTCGTCCCTCCACACACCCCACTTTCCCTGTCCGGTAATAACCCTAGGAACCTTAATTCCTGTCACAATCCTCCAGCGCAGCCTATCCACCTCCCCGCGCACACAATCGTCGCTCATCAATGCCCATTGCTTTAGCTCAATCCTCCTCCTGTACTTGAATCCGTTCTGACAGACCGTCTGCGCGGAAGTTATGCCAGCGGTGTTCAAAACATTGAGAATCTGAGTTTGCGCAACACATTGTAGGTCCGAGAGCGCTCTATTGATGACATCCCAGTGCTTAGTGATCAAATCCATCCGGTCATCTATCGAAGGAGGGGCCTGGAGGTCATCAACCACGGCATCCGACCTCAGACTATTAAGAGAGTGCTGTGGGAAATGGCCGTCGTCAAATGGTGGAGGTGTTGAGCACAGGAAGTCGGGGTGCCCATGATCATGCTCGAAAGATGTACATGTACTTAGCTGGCAACACTTATGACTGAGAGATAGAGAAGAAGTTGTCGACGGGCGGTTGTAAACGGCTGGTGGGGGCAATGAAATGATCAAACCAAGAGCGTACATATAAGTCTTGGGTGGCTTGACGATCTTGGCTGCGGCAGCCGCAGGTCCACTTACGGGCTGAGCGCTATTGGCCATTTTGGGAAAGGGAAACCCATGTTGAGATCCTGGCGAACTTGTGGGTGTAGAGGTATGGTCTTTAGAGCCCGAAGGGGGATTGGGAAACGTTGGGCTTGGAGGCATTACTACTGAAAACAGCCGTGTAATCAAAACTTCCTTGCGGCCATCCTTATGCGACTCTGTCTCCAGTTGTTGGGGGCCAGAAGAAAGGTTTCGAAGTGATCCACGTCTTGAGGAAACAGGACTATTTCGAATCCTGCCTTTTCGCTCTTCTGCTGTCGGAAGTATGTGAACCTTCGTTGAGGGGCCCTTATATGCTAATGGCGCCGAGCCAAACATACAATCCGTCAATACCGTCATCTCATGATCAGGCGCCACCCCGGAAGCACTTTGGGTTGGGTGATACGAAGAGGCGCCAAAGGGATGATTCGGGGGCATGGGACGTCGCCTGGAGCGGTGGTGGGGCCCTCCGAGCCCGGGCGACAGAGGGCCGTTGTCTTCAAACCCCGGCTGTGGTTGGCCCACGTTCCTCGGGACAGGTTGAGAGTCGTACAAGACGGCCTTCAGCTCGGCAGCTGTACCATCTTGAGCGATGATAACCCTCACATCTCGATCAGAGTCGAGATCAATGTTCTCGCCGAACCCACCACCACTGCTGCTGCTGGTATGAGAGCAGGACAGAGAGGAATGGAACGAGGAGCAAGTTGCATCGGGATAGAGAAGATTCCTGGTGTGTAGATCGTCACTCTCGGGGGCCGCGGTTGACGGGCGAGTGCCGTTAGGAGATGTGGCTGCTGAATTCGCAGATGAGAATAGACGACCAAGCATGATTGCGTAGTGGTCGTCGGGAGAGGGAAATAGTGGGAAGCGCGCGAAGTGGATTAACGGTCAAGAGAAAAACAAGATCGGGTATAGGAGAGGGACAGCGCTGGTAGTTAATGCCGCCGAACGGAATCCATGATCGCCCAGCTTATTGTATTCCTATTCCGACAGCGAAAGATATTATGGGGTTTGTTGGGTAAGCGACGAGAAGGTGTCGGCGTGGCCACGATTTGTGGTGAGTACCAAGGGTTTCTTTGTTTATGAGTTGACCCGAAAAGCCGGTTGAAGCCGCGCCTCCGGATGAAGTAGCAGCAGAGGAAGAGCTGCAGAGCAGAAGCAGGGCAAGAAAGGTAGCAAGAAGCAGGAACAAGTGTATTTTATAAATAAATAATAATACGGCGGCGCGGGTAAAGGTGTGGTGTCGCGTATGGAAGGGATGATATACGAATGGGGGTATATGGAAGGGGTGGTGGTGAAGGGGGTAAGGAGCAGCTAGAGGAGGAGGAGAGGGGAGCGGTGAAGGTTATCAGTTGTGGGCGAACTGCTTGCGTAGTTGCTGCTTCGGCCGTTCCGGTCGATGCAAGGGACACAGACCACCAACCACTATATCCGAGCAAGAGAAGGGTCTCGCACGAGCACAAGTACTCGAGTATGTCTGGGGAGTTGAAGCAAAGAAGATGGTTGGTGATGGGAGGCGGTTGTGTGGGTATCAGTAGCTACCGGTATGTTGTATTGATAGCTGCCCGTACCAGAGTGGCCATACAAACCTTGATCCGATTTGATTTGCGAAAGCGGCTGCAGATAACCACTGATTGGACTGGATTCGCCCGCTGTTACCAGGTGAGCGAAGGGTCAAACATTTAAATGCATCCAGCACACCCCCAATAATATAGGAATGATACATACAATTTAATTGCGAATTACCCCCGAAAACCCACAGGCGGCCAGCCAACTTTTGAAGACACGAGTGCGGTATGGGTTAAATAAAGGAAGGGTGAAAGTGACCCACGAGTTGCCCAACCAAATGGTTCTCGAGGGTGGGTAAAAAATGATGCTGTTAACAAACAGAGCCTACGAGTCCGGGACTCCCCTCTCAAAAAGACGGTGTACAGTACAAGCGGCGGCGGCGGCGAGTTAGACAGTGAGGGAGATGGAGAGGGAGAGGGAGAGACAAAAAAGAAAAGGGAAAATCGCAGCACAATACCGGGGCCTACGATATTCCGTAGGAGAGTGTTTGGGATGTGCTGTGCTATTCAGAGGGCGGCTCAATGTACCAGTATTGTACCGGCAACCTCACTCGACTTGGCGATGATTTCTCCTCAAGCAGCGTCCCGACGTGACGGTGGTGCAAATAGGGAGAAATATCAAGGTTGAGTGATTGTATTGTATGTACAGTAAAGTACTCGTACAGCACGGCGAAAGGGTTACCACACCGCCGCACGCAGACACTACAAAGGCCAGATGAAGAAGGGGTGAGGGAGGGGGAAGCACGAGGAAGAGAGAAGGCGAATAGGCGGCGCACTCCCACTCTAAGTAGATTCCGGGGATCTGACGGTTATCGTACAGCATCACACAGACATGGCGTTCCTTCTTCGCTCCCAGTCTGAACAGGATTCCTTCCCCACGGCGGAAGAAGTTATGCCTATTATAGGATAAAGCAACTCATGGACGGGGGAGGCCATAACTCACCGCATCTCACAGAAACTATGATAATGTACGGTACGAGTACTCGTAGCGTAACTCTACCCGCCTATTTCCGTTTCCAGGGGGGGGGTTCAATCAACAATTTGCGGAAATCTGATCTCGCGGAGAAGGCGAACACTGGAAAAAATGTGTGGACCAGAGTCGGCCGGGAAGTTGCCTTTTGGGCTTCATCTAGTCGAGTAATAGAGGAGGGTCTCATCATCATCCCCCCCCCTCCACCCCTTCCGATAATTATCACAACGAATTAACGCCTCTGAATTTCGAACAGCACAGACACGAACACGGACACCGACACAAACACACCATCAACCAACCCTCCTTCTTCTTTCCAACCTTCTTCTTCTCCACACCGCTCTTCCCTCGCTGACCCTGAAATAGCTTCGAATTATCGCTTTTTCGCGATAACTACTAGACAGTTAACGGCATACAAAGGCGAGCGATACGCACATGTCGAACACCGCCTTCCTCGCGAGCACCACAGCAGCGCGGCAACCCTCCTCCATCTTTCTCACCCACGGTACACAGATGTAATACCGGCACGTATAGACTACTTTACTCGAGTGCATCTACCGTGCAATGCAGTACTCGTACACATTGCAATGTCAAAAGTACTCCAAAGAAACGACCTCGATATGATACCTACTGTACGAGTACATACCATAACTTGACCAAAAAAAAAACACAAATAATGTTATCATAATGGAAATAATAATAATAAAAATAAAAACAAAACAAAAATACAATCCTCCACATAAAGTTAACTGTATCACGCCCAGAAAATGCAATCCTCATCACTACCCAAAATGCGCGTGCTTTGGCGTGTGTGCGTGGGAGGGTTTTCGTGCGAACGGCAGTTGTCGGCACACACAGGAATGGTATGGTATGATAGCAGCACATCACTTCCGGCACATACGATATCATAGGCCAGCCTCTCGCTCGCTCGCTGCTAGCATGAAGTCTCACGTCTCGTCTCAGGTTCGATATGATACTGTAAATTACTTCTTTTACTCTTTTTTTTTTTACCCCACCTTGGCAGGGAGACAAAAAGTACCATCATCATCATCAGCAGCAGCAGCAGCAGCAGCAGCAACGACGATGACAACCACACAATTTAGAACAATCTCAATCTCAACTCCACCAGAACAGAAAGGACAGAGGGAACCCCTAGCAAACCCAACCATCCACATCCAACCCATCCATCCCAACCCCACCCAAAAGTAATAATAATAATAGAAACCCACCAGAAAGCCCAACCCACCTAAGAAAGAAAGAAAGAGAGGAAAACTCCAGGGTCAAAATCCTTCCCAGTATCATTACCTACTTGTACAGTACAGTACTGTACTCTACAAGCACCCTTAGCCTGTAAATACGCCGGGCAAGGGAAATTCTAGATACACAAAAAAGGTACTCGTACATCCGTATTTTCCGCCCGCTAAACTGACTGACTTACGGAGCCTCCGAGTTGATCTCGATAAAGGTACTGGACTACTTGTATATCTTGTATACTAGTCCTTGCACCGAGAACTTCAAACCAATTATTATTAACCTGCTCACCGGAATATCATGGCGGTTCAAAGCCCGACATTCCACTCACCCCCCCGTCCAATTCTTCATTCATTCATTACTTATTTATTTACTGGTGATTAAACTCGCACCTAAGCGACAACCGATTGCCGATATGCGGGGCCGGGGATACAATAGCAATAGCATAATCGAGCAATCAATTAGTCGTTCAAAAGGATGGTCAACCGGTACCGGGCCAGGAAGAAAAGGAAAAAGAAAAAAGAAAAAACGATAGACGAACTGCCCCTCACTCTGCGCATGCAAGTAAGCTATTATACGGTACCTAGAGCAACTGTGCACTAATCCCAGGGATGGAGGAAGGGAGGGTTGGGTAGCGAGGACCGACGGACATGCGTACGTGTATTGTACTGTGGGGCAGATAGGTAGACAGGCAAGTAGGCGGTGTTGTGATGGTCATGATATACTCGGGTACTGTACTGTACGAGTACTGTACAAGTACTGTGTTCGTCGAGAACCGTACATCAGACAAGCAGAGATCCCCGAGATCAACGGATATCGCACGAAACATGCAAGTATTCCGCGCCGAGCGCTGTTTCCTTTCCTTTTCTTCACTCTTCTTGTTTTTATCGATATTATGGTAGTTAATGTTCGCGGTCGGTGGGTGGTTGTGATGAGAGAAAAGAAAAGAAAAAAGAAAGAAGAAGAAAAAGAAGAAGAAAAAAAAAAAAAAAAAACATGTAATGTGGTGATTTCCGCTCCGATGAGGTGGAGTTTGGAGGGATTGGTGAACCAAGGAAGAAAGGAAGAAAGTAACACTGTACAAACAAAAGTGATATCAAAGCCATCAACTTCGTCGTCATCGTGATGATCGTCATCATCTGTTCCTCTTCTTCCTCTTCGGCAATACCGGTAGCTATATTTACTTCCCGTCACTATGCTAGCAAGCACGTTGTGTGTGTGTGTAAACCTTTTATTCTTCCACTATCTCACCTACTAACTAAAGTAATCGGAGTACGGCATGGGATACTGCCCCCAGCCCTGGGCCCCCCTCAACGAAATCTTTCGCTACACCCCCCTGTAGGCCATACAAAGGAAACTCCCACTCCCTTCCTCTCCTCTCCCTCAAACAGCTTTGGTCCGTCACAAAGGAAACCCACTCCTGCCCCCCGGCCCCATGGTCGTAAACAAAATAAAATCCATCAACAAAGGAAACCCATTCCTGCCCCTTTGGCCCCATGGTCGTGAACAAAAGAGATCCAAACTAACAAAGGAAACCTACGCATGCCCCCTGTGCCCCGTAGTCGTGAACAAAGGAAATCCAAACAAACAAAAGGAACCCACGCCTGCCCCCTGTGCCCCGTGGTCGTGTACATTATGAAATAACAATCTGACCAGCATTACTCCCCTGGTCCACTGGGCGCCTCCTCCGTGTCTTCCGCCGTTGTAGCCTATCGGCCCTTTCTCGCCGGGTCGTGTATTCTGGCATGCGCCGACTCATGCTGCACGTCCCTTAGTACCATTTCCCCACATATCTTGCACGGCCGTCGTGGTCTGGGTTTCACCGGTTTCTGTGTTGGTTGGCTTGTGGGTAGGTTAATGTTGGCTCCGATTACCTGGGCGGCGTCTGGTTGTTGGGTGCCGTCCTCCTCCCCAGTCATTTCTGGTTTTCCCTTAAGTTCATATGGCCAGTCGTCCATCCATTGAAGGAGTTCTCCTTGCCTTTTGTTGTCGTAGAGCCCGATTGTCGTGGTGGTTGTTACCCCGCATCTGTTTGCTAGGTGGTCAAAGGTTATTATGTCCTGATCGCATGGGCATCGCCTCCTGGCGCCGGTTATCTCCTGGTATGGCCAACCCGCCGTTGCCATTAATCCTAGCAGCCTTTTAAAGCTTTGCCTGGTTAGGGAGTGTAGGTGCTTGTGCGATTTAGAGGGCCTTCCTTGGTACCTGGTCCCTTCGTTGGTGACACTTTCTGCCCATTCTTGTTGCATCCGGTTTTTGAGTGCGTCTTTGCCTAGCTGGTAATTGCCGGTGGTGGTGATAACGTCTTCTGCCCCGTGCCTGGCCATCCATCTCTTTGTCCAAGTGTTGTGGCGGTCCTTGGTGGTGGCTCGTAGCGCCAGCAAGTTTTGCCTGAACTGCATCATGAGGTCCAGTGGCGGGATCCCGAGTTCGGTAAGGAAGGCCAGGACCGGTGTTTTCTTTTCCAGCCTGAAGGCGGTTCGGATTATCTTGTTGAGGGCCGCCTGCGCTTCTCTTATCAGGCCTTTGTTTCCCCATGTCTCTATCCCGTATGTCAGCTGTGGGATTATCAGGCCCTTGATTAGTCGCAGTGTCGTCCCCGCATTCAGTCCCCCCTTGCTGTACCTGGACGTCACTGCCCTTATGCGGTGTCCAGAGCTGGTGGCTTTGTTGATCCAGTGCCTGACGTGATGGTCCCATTTCCATTTGTCTGTTAGGAAGTATCCAAGCCACCTTAGGTGGCCTTGACCAGGTATCTCTTGGCCCCGTAGGCGGACTTCGAACTTGTTCTGCGGTGGTGTCTGTACGAAGATTGTTTCGGCTTTACTGGGTGCGAACTCGTATCCATCTCCGGCTACGGTTGCCTCAAGTTCCCTAATGGTTTCCTGGTGCAACCTTTTTCCCTCTTTCGTGTCCCGGTATGTTGTTGCTATCAAGATGTCATCCACGTACATCAGGACCTTGGTTTCCGCTGTTTGGGATGGCGTTGCCTGTACTTTTGCTGTTTCTAGCATGCTGATAAGGAAAAGTATTGGTGATAGGGGAGAGCCCTGTGGCGTGCCCTTGTCAGTAGCATATCCTCTGGACGTTCTGCCATTAAACCGGTAGCTGGTTGTCCTGTCGGTGGCCCAGTGTCGGACCCATTGTGCCAGGTGACCTGAGTGCTTTCCGAGCCTGTTGCATACCTTACCCATCTGTAGGTGGTCGAATCCCCCCTGGACGTCGAGGGTGGTGATGCATTTGCCGGCTTTTCCGGTTGTGTCCATTACGTCGTTTAGGGCTTGTATGCCATCTGTCGTACCATATCTCTTTCTCCCTCCGAATATATTGCCTTCCAGGATTTCGAGCCTTGCTATCTGTATGACTGCCACTCTTTCTAGGGTTTTTGCCAGTATGGATTGTAGCTGTATCGGTCTCCAACTTTTTGCCACTGTGTATGATGGTTTGTTTAGCTTGGGTATCAGTATGGTGGTGCTGACCTTCCAGCTTTCTGGGA